TCGTTGACTTAAATATCACAGACCACTCTGGAATCAGGAAGCAGAATTTCCTAATATGCGTGTGGAAATTTGTGAAACAAACTTATTGAATGCACAGATCCAATTATTCACCGCGTTTTATTTTTCACCACATGCTTTACTGAAATTCCTTTATAAACAACATATGGCTATTTAAATTTAATATGGAGTCTTGCTTTATTTATGTAAAAGAACTGGATTTCGAAGAATCCCTTAATGAATTGTTATTGGAGTACATTTCATTTCATCTGGCAAGGCAAGTGAAAGGGATTCGGGTTGGCATCATCGCAAGCTGTGGGGGGATTGCTTTGAAGTTGTGATAGCAGATTTCTGTGTAGAAATGTGTAAGTCCCTGGCGCACTTCCCTGCGACTCCGATGAATCCTTGCAGTGCTTTTGTCCGCCATGTGACGAACATCCTCAGAACAGGATGATATCCCTCTCTCGCCTCTTCAAACGAAATGAAAGCTACTCAATCTATTAAGAGATTCTTCAAAATCCTGTTTTTCTACACACTTAATTTATTTATACAGCAAATTATTATTATATACTATGCAATTATTTTATTTGCCTTTATATCTTAATTGTAAACTCCCATATATGAATTTCCGCTAACCATTCTTCTTCCAAATTATTTATATAATGTTTTTTAATTAGTTGTACTTTTATGATCAACCATTTTTACCACATCTAACCAAATATCTTTGAGAAATGGAATTTCTCGCGTTACTGTTTATATTGTAATTATTTATCTTGTGACAATTCCATAAATACTCCGCATTACCACCAGCCCAACTGAGGACATAATAATTTTAGCTTTGTCCTAAAGTCACATTTATTGAGCCACTATTTAATTGCGCTCTTGTGAAACACCATCCAATTGCGTTTCGCTGGTAATGTAGTCAATGAATTTTTTTTATCGGGCTGTGCAGATGAGTTCATCACATGATTTTAAACTTTGCATATTTTTAGAGCTATCTAACCTTCGGCTCTTTCCACTATTATCAAGCACTATTTTTTCATCAGTTGGAGTGCCAATCAAACTTATAAAATCGGTCTGTGATTTTAATACTATGCTAGAGAATCTTCTATTCACTTATTTATAAGCACTATTTGTGCGTTAGTTTCGTTGGTTGAGCTTTAGGATGCTCGATAGTTTCACAAAATCCTTGTCATAATTTATATTAACCAAATGACAAAAAAAATCAAGAATATTTTATTTTCTTGTACTACATTTATTATTTATGTTCTTGTTATATTCATAATATATTTATATAGATAGCCCTTTTATTTAGTCTGTTTATACTTTAAATCTCTTGCTTTATTTGTTTCTTATTAGGGCATCAAGGCTATAAGTAAATAAAAAAATGTGACATCTATCCACCATATTTTATTTAAGGTAATGATGGACTGCTAGTCGAATTGTCTCACAACGACATGAGTTTACCTTTGGTTTCCATTAAATTTAACATAGCCTTGCTTCCCAAAGGCATTGTCATCAAGGTTGAAGTGGCGAGTTTGAAACTGCTGCTCACTCCTGCTTGGATGAGAGTTTCTTTTGACAAGCAAAGCTTTGTGAAATTCATTGCAAGCATGAGGTCTACTTAAATGATTGTGGGAAAATTCAGCTACTAATCCTCCACCCATAACGAAATAGTGTGAAGAGAGCTCATATATCTTGCCTCATTACTTATGAAATATTATTGGCTCCTATTCTTCGCAAACTTTGCTTAACCACTTTTTTGCTCTCACTAGTTTTGAATTCGTGCTCAATCGATGGACAAAATCTTGTGGTGACATCAGGGAACTAGCAGAAATCGTAAGTAGGCCTCAATAAATTCGCTCAAAAGGGTCTAGACTAGGCTAGAATTAGCAGTATTCATTTTGACGCACTCCATGAATATCGTATACAAACCAAACGGCTGCAGTACAACGAGGTTCATCTGTCCTCATCTGGTGAGATCGATCAACGAATCTCTTCATGCACTTTCATACGAAATGAAGGTCCCCCTAACAATGTTATCTCAGGAGATTCGTCGAAACCTAGTTTTTCTTCGTATCTAGAATAAATAAATTAGAAGTTATGGAGAGTACACCAATACGAAAGTAGATATATCACAACTGATTGGCAGAAAGCTGAAGGGGAATTGACATTCATCATTGCGTACTCTCAGCTGATGACGACCTAAAAATTTGAATTTTGTAGTTGGGGCTAGTTGCTTAATCTAACTGATTATAACTCATAGTTTTAATTCTGGGAATGTTCAATATAGCAAATTCCTTATCATGATATTTATCAGTTGATGCAAACAACCCGAACTGGGTGAAACTGAACCGCATTATGCTGAACTAAGATGGAATAAGATTGATAGCGCTTGCGAAAAACAAGTCGTTAAATAATGATGTACTTTTCAACACTTGCAGTTGGAAGGGAAGGGGACGCATCTACTTTGGCCCATTAGATTAATCAGACCTAGGAACTCCACGTGATTTCATGGAATGTAGTGAAGTTCAGATAGGGTTTTAACTGTAAAAATCTTCAAATTCACATCTGTCTCACAACTCACTGTTGTTCATGGCTATGGCTAAGTGGCAATACATCATAACTTTATCCTTATGAGGCATTTTCGAATCATATTTGGGTACTGAGAAAACTTATGCGAGGTTACAGATGCAGTCCGATTTAGATGATAATGAATTTTGAAAGGCATAGCCACGTGAAATTTGATGGAATTCTGATGGCCACTAGTATCATTGCTTATTACATTTGGTAATGTTTTAAAAAATATAGTCGTTCCTGATTCTGGCTATGTCTATCACATGGCATACTAAAGTTCAGCCCTAATTGATAGGGATCTCAAGGCAGAGTCAAAGTATTCCCAGGAATTGATTCATTATTCTGCACTCCACTGTTTAAAATTATGTTGATAAATGATTTTTGATCATTCTCTTCTTACATGTTATCGTACTTAACATTTCATATTTATTTTGAGATCAAAACCTGTTCGCATTTTTTACACTCAAGTGTTATCGTGACAGATAGATGTGCAATTTTTTGCTAATATGAAAGCACATCTTTTGTGTTAAGATAACATTATCCTGATTGCTCTGTTATACTTCTCTCTCCTTATTCTCCCACAGGCATTCCATCCCTGATTCGGATGCCCTGCTACCTGTCCCATCTTCCATTCCTCCTATACCTTCTTCTCAACTTGTCCAGTCGAGTGGATGTGAGGCTGCGCAGCCAGTACAAGCGGCTCCAGATACTGTGCCTATTTTAGTTTCATCAACTGGTGCGCAGTCAATGTATTTGGAGCCATCTTCGTTGGCACACCAATCGTCATCATCTCTACTAGTCGCAGCTAATCTAGACCAAGCGATTAATCACGGGCCTCCTATCAAGCCAATTCCTGGAGCATGTGTAGTTCAACCACATCAGACACAGCAACATCCATCACATCCACAACATCAACCTTCGGTAGCCAGCTCTGCACCAGCTTGCAATATAGCTCCTGCAATTATTGGCATTCCATCAGAACTTTCACCTAAGGATAGTAGTGGAGCCCCCGCTAGTGAACCCTTAATTGCCGGTAGTTTTCGTAGCGCTATCAACTCGGCTTCACGTGATCTCGATCTTTCTTCTCTGCTTAGCGACCAAGTAGAAACACGAGTCCTGGCTAGTTTGGTAATGCATCCCTAATTTATTAAGAAGCAATATTTCATGATATGTTTTTTTAACTAAGAGCTATTTGAGTAAATATTATTTACTGAAAATCCAAATATTTACTTATTTCTTGACCTAAACTATCTAACATTATCCATCTAGGGGATATTAAAAACGAATTATTCCACACTCTTGAGTTATTAATTTTTCAAAACGAGTGTACAAAATATTTGCATATTTCATAGCTCTAAAATTCTGTCTGCTCACTCTTTTCAGTTAGAATAGTTAGTCATGCATAACTTCATTCATTTATATGCAATTATCTTCAGCTGTCCCTATATTCCTTAACTTGTCATATTTGCGGATTTAAAAATCTTTACAGATACCATCTGTTTTTATTTTTTGTTTAGTGCCATATTGATTGTTGCACCTTTATTTTTTCATTTCGATTTTGTTCGTATATCCGTCACTATATTCTTTGAATGTTTTTTTTTCATAGGATAGCTGGCGTAATACAAGCATGCAAATTAGTCGAAGATATAAGGATCAGAGTGGTGTGGCCTTTTGTATGGTCGCTATCTCCTTTCGTTGTATAGAAGTTGTTTGACCTTATTTTCGCAACTTCGTCATATTGACAGGGAGACCTAGAGGAACGCAAATTGTCTGCAATCCATAGTATGCATGATAATTTCCAGAGACGGACCGTTGACTTGGTACATTCACAGACGTTGCGCCGGCATCGTCAGTGAGTCTTATCAGTCTTAGCAACTACAACTCGTCAATGAGACAAGTGAAGTCGATTCCTTGACTAATTGTATGCTAAACAGTTGTGGTATCTCTCGTTCTGTCCTGAGCTATTCACCTATCCTATATCTGCGTATCACCCCTTCAATATCACAATTTCTTATTTGTTTATCTAAGCATATTTGAAACCTATTCACTCTCACCGCTGGTTTCCACATCCATCCCACTTTACTGGTATTGTTGATCCAAGGCTGCGATTTAATTCGCAATCCTCTTCATTCCGGTCCTATCAGAGCCCCCTCCTGCTCTGTAGGGTCCTTCCCTTATCTGCCAATTTCATAGATTTTACTCCATCGCTGCAACCGTATCCGTACTACTCAAGGCGTTCTACACTCGGCCTCAAGCCTTTGATAGCACGTATACACCAGTCTCACTGAGCAAGCCCATAAAGTCTGAATCGTCATTTGGCAGGAAACCTAACTTGACACTGTACATTCCCTTATTCATGTGCGGCATGTGCACTGAGTGAATCTAGTGGGCAAGCCTTTACTTTATGGACCATGACTATGAGCCCTTGCTAGTGAACCCTTAATTGCCGGTAGTTTTCGCACCGCCATCAACTCGGCTTCACATGATCTCGATCTTTCTTCTCCGCCTAATAACCAAGTAGTAACACGAGTCCTGGCTAGTTTGGTAATGCATCCCTAATTTATTAAGAAGCAATATTTTATGATATGTTTTTTTAGCTCAGAACTATTTGAGTAAATATTATTTAGAGATAATCCAAATGTTTACTGAATTCTGGAGCCAAACTATCTAACCTTATCCATCTAGGAGATATTAAAAACTAATTGTTCCACACTCTTGACTTAGTAATTTTTTAAAACAAATGTACAAAATATTTGCATATTTTACAACTCTAAAATTATGTCGGCTCACTCTTTTTAGGTAGAACATTTAGTCATGCATAACCTCATCCATCTATACGCATTTTTTTTAAGCTGTCCCTTTATCTCTTAACTTGTCATATTTGCAGACTTAGAAATATGTACAGATGATGTTTGAATTTTTGTATTCGTCTGTTTTCATTTTTAGTTTAGCACAACTGGGTTGTTGAATCCTTATTTTTCCTTTCGATTTTGTTTTATCTATCTATTATTATATTATTTGAATTGACCTTATTAAGGGATAGCTGGCTTAATAAAAGCATGCAAATTAGACTATAAAAATAGTCAAGGCCTCAATATAAATGAGGAAATTCATTAATTTTGAAATTGCCTGATTTAAGACGAAATAGTCACATCTTGGGACAGATTTAAATCAATGCTAGCTTTACAACATATGAGTACATCTTAAAAAATAGGGAACTCATGGATATCTGGTCTTGCTTTAAATAAAACTATTTTTCGAAGGTATGAAGACCAAGATGGTGTGGTCTTTTGTTTGGTCGCAGTCTCCTTTCGTTGTATAGAAGTTGTTTGACCTTGTTTTTGCAACTCGGTCATATAGGTAGGAAGACTTAGAGTAACGCAACTAGTCCGGAGTCCATTGTATGCATCCACGGTCCTACTCTGGAAATGATGATGCATACAATGGACTCCGGACTAGGTGCGTTTCTCTAAGCCTTCCTACCAATATGACCAAGTTGCGAAAAAAGAGTCAAACAATTTCTTTTAAACTATTTTTATTTGCTACGT